AACCAAGTTGATGCAAATTATACATAAGTACTCAAAGGTTTAAATACTGGTGTAATTCAGATGGTGGGTGTAGCCTGAGAAAAGGTTATGTCTAATCCAAACACCTCCAGGTACCTGAATTAAAGCTCCACTTTAAAAACAAGATAGCACTTCGGCACTTTGCTACAACTCAATGCTCGTGATTTTTCTTTTTTTTACTGTAGACAAAAAAAATGTTTGTTTATCTTTCTTAAAGAGATGAATCCTTTTCATTGAAACATAAAGAGGGAAAAGTCTAGGGATGAATTTTTTTCTACATTGGGTATCTGCCTAACAGAGAAAGCTTAGCAGGATTAAAAGAAAGACAAGACTAATAGTGGAAAACCTCAAGCAAGCCTTATGACTGGAGTCACCTTAAAGACAGAATACCCAACAGAGGCAGCCTCACTACTGGGATTCTTCTATTGCTCGTGCATAACCCTTGAGCTAGGAGAACAAACTTTGCAAAACAAATTAGACTGAGAGAGGTTGTCCCATATACAATTAATATAATTCAGAGCTGATTCACTGTAGGTCAGAAAGTTTCCTGAGTACAGTGCTTCTCAGTATGTAAACAGACTAACTCCTTCATAATTATTGTCCTCTCTTCTAAGTAACAGAGTGTGGGAGCAGGCTGAGCTACAAAAGACCTTTAAAATCTTTGATACCGCGAGTTATGATGCTCTGAAAAACTGGTAGGGAACAACTGCGTGGTCTGCTTTCTTCTCGATCACAGTATTGGGCCAATTGGTGTGTTGCGTTTCCAGACTCTTAACAGTCAAAAGCAGCTTCTTATAAAATGCATAAATACCTGGAGATTTCTTCCCAGGGCAAATTGTGGTTTCTGGCACCGCTTTGATTAAGCATTCTTCTTTCTGGCTCATCTTGTTCTTTTGGTGCAAAGGACGAGAGGTTTTGCTGCTCGGAGAGCTTGGGTGTGCCTTTCTCACCAACACGTCTGGTCCTCCAAAAGCAGAAGAGAGTCCACCTGACGGTCCGTGGCACAAGCAGGTCATTTGCCGCCTGTTGCCACTAAGGTGAAATCCAAGCTTTTGCACTTTTTGTTTGCGTTTCTTTCTTTCTCCTTCCGCCTGTAGCCCGAAGAGCTGGCTGTGTGAACGTGGCACAGGTGTTTGTGCTGGGAGGGAGGAGTATTTTGTTGTTAGTTGTGGTGCCTGCCTAAAGCTCTCAACTGCTCCCTGTCATCCACAGTCCATCGTGCCTGCTCGCACCAGCTCAAGTCTTCTATTTACTCTTGCTGCTTTCCTTGCAGATACTTTCCAGCACATCTGCTCTGGAGTTTTCCTTCTAAGCAAAGCCTTAACTCATAACTGGCTCTAATGCAAACTCACTTGCATGCGTCTCCCAAAACTACTGCTTGATTTTGGTAGAATCAAATTCCTTTCCTGGATTCTCCTGTCCTCACTAGCTGCCAACACTTTGCTTCCTGACATGGGACATGCCATTCTTCCTTCCTCTGAAATGGTACGGGGCTTCACCGCATGGGTTTCTTAAGTTGTAGAGGTGTAAAATTTTCTTGGCAAACTGACGTTTTTTGCATTTAAATGCCAGCGCCCAAACAAATGCTTTGTCTTTCCTGTAATGCCTTATTTAATCAAGTTCAGAATAAACTGGATTAACTCTTTGTATTTACATTAACAGTAAAAATCTGCTGGAAGCTAAAATACTGAGGCTGTTCTTCATAGAACCAGACCACGCAGTAATAATAAACAAGTATGTTTGTCTTGTTGCTTTTTTTTTTTGCACCCATTTGATGATTTTTCCCAACAGAACTAGGAAGGCTGTGTAAATCTCTTATTTAAACTTAGAAAATACATATGGCTGCTTACTTGACCTGGGGAAAAAACAAACCTAAAAAACCCAAACCAGACCACCCTCTCAGTGTTTGTGAGGCACCTGAACTATGTGTGCAGCAAATGAAGAAACATACCCATTCTCGCTGTGTCCGTTTTAAAAAATAAAAAAAAGTAGCTAAATTAAATCCCAAAGTTGCAAGTAGTTGTATGCTTTTCTTCAGTGAAATGGTCTCAGCTTCCATGACGATGCCTAGGGCAGCGGCAGCAGGGGGGAGGCAGTAAACTGATGTTAAAAATAGCTGTGTCTACCTGTAACAAGAGCAAATTAGACTTTTTGTCGGGCTTGAGAAAACCTTCAGAACAAGTGCTTTCAGAGTTGACAGATGAAGGTTAAATCAATAGGCAATTAATCACATTCATCACTTTTTCTATATTAAGGCAGACACAGTAAGACAGTTGTTGGGGGTTTTAATTTTTAGATAGCTTTATTTTAGTCAATAGTAGGCATAGGCACTCAGGGTCTGGACAGACATCCATGGGATTTAGCTGTGCTTTTGCAATTGTAAAGCAATTTCCAGTGTGGAAATGTGGACTGTCTTGCACAAGGGAAGTACTGAAATCTCATTAGTTAATGACCCTAAATAGTCTGCACTGCCTTGCTCCACATATACTAAAGTGGGACAGGACTCATTAAGCAAGTAAACTTACTGCTTATTTTTAAATGACAAAGTAGTTTGATTATGGCTGTTATGCAACTAATTCCAAATAAATCCGAACAACCCCTGACCAGATTAAGGTGCAAACTCAGCAGTGTATGATGTGCCCTTCACGGTACAGGCTATAACATTAGACTTGGTTTAACTGTTTTATACGAATCAAATGTCCCAGAAGCTGCATTTCATACTATACATGCATTTTTCCCTAATCTAAATCATGCTGCTATGTTGATTTTGGTTTACATAGGTTCAATATTCATGATTGGGATTAAAAATGGACTCTGGTAGTACAATCATGCTAGCATGCTTCTGCTTGCATACTTCAGTTAAAAAAAATTAGACGTACAACTAGTCTAGCCCTTTTTTTAGCGTCAGTTTAAAGAGCGGGATGCTGATTTCTGTGTGCTCTCAGTGTGTCAGTGCTTTACACCCCTTTCAACTGCTTCTTGCTGTGCTACTACAGGCAGTGCAGTAAGGCCTAGAATATAATTGTCTTCAACCAGAAGCCATGTTTCTTTATCAGCTGCTAAAGTTATTTGGCAAATTGCATTCCTTTTGTCCCTGCTTCTCCTAGTGTTGATGGAGCTGTTAGTTTGCTGTAAGCTGGTAACCTAGTTACTGAAACAAGGGATGATTAAAGGTTATCTTTCAGTATTTCTTTTAGAAAAGGAAGCAGTACTAAATAAAACTTAGCCAGTCATACTTGGATGAAAGTTGAGTTTGCATCTCACATTTATGGGCAATAACTTGTCTCCCCTTCTGTAGACTTCTTAGCGTTAAGTTTGCAATTCTTAAAAAAGAAATCTTAGCGTAGCCTTTACTGTTTGGAACAGAAAACTGTCATATCCTCTGTTCTGAACTTCTGCACTACGCTAATACTGTTCTGCATGTCCTGGTTATCAAGTATCCCATTGTGACTGGATGTCCCGAACTTGCAGGTTTTAGTTAGAATGCCTTACACAATGCTGTCTCTGCAGACACCAAAGAGACAGCAAACACTTCCCTCACACCAGTGGCAGCTTTAAATCCATGGCTCAATGGGAATATGAATGGCACCTCTCTCCTAGGGTGGTTAAGGAAAGATTACAAGTGCGCCACCATACCAGCCCCTAAGCTCAGTCTCCAGCGTCTTCTCTTTGCACGTTACAAAACACAAGAGTTGCCACTGGAAACTAGTCCCAGCAACGCAGCCAGTGACACAGCTAAAACCACTGCCTTCTACATCATCTGCTTCCTGTACTTCTCTCTATTTCTAAAGGACCTTTACTCTCTTAAGTTGAATTCCGGCCAATGGTGTAGTCTGACTTGGCTTCCCTCCCCGACTTTCCAAAACCCAACCAACCAAAATCCCCTCAAACAACCCAACCACTATTAGTAGCTGGCTACTTCCCATTACAGTAATAGCTTTAACTGTCCGTTTAAGAAAGAAATCAGTTTTTCAGACACTGTTAGAATCAGCCTATTTGGAAGTGAATGCCCTTTCTGCCATATGATATGTAACATGCACGGTGACTTCCACTGAGGTACGGAATCAGTGCATGTGTACTGTGGTCAAAGAAAGTAGTTCTTAAGAGTATTTATTGTATTAGTATTTATTTTTTTGAGACAACAGAAAAATCGGTATTAAAAAAAATTTGTTAACAGGCCAAGAAAGAGCTTCAGCAAAAGATCTATAAATCAGTGGAAAGACATTTTTTGGCTCAGATCTTGTTTCTGATATTACCCTAAGACCTTGTTTCTGTGACTAGATATGACATCTGGTAGGTTATTTTGTAATAGGGCATCTTAGACATATCCTCATATTGGACCAGAACACTAGCAATTCATCTGTTATTCTTTCCTAAGCACTTAAGAACTGTACTGTCCCAGATGGCCTTCCAATACCCAATTCTTTTTCATGCTTGGTAGGTGCCATTTTAACTCCTGTGTGCTTTAGAAGCATTTTAATCTAAAAAAACCCCAACCAAACAACAAAAAATAACAAACCCACAAACCAACAAGAAACCAAACCAAGAATACTGTCAAGACTGAGGAGATCTAGAGCTAACTGCTGAACTCATTTGGTAGAAATGGCTGAAATCAAACCAGACATACATTAGTATACATTTCTCATCAGCAGAACTGCTGATCAGAAAGCAAGAAAGTCCAATGTTAGATAGGGTCCTCCGTTGTTAAAAGCTCATTGAAATTTCTATATAGCCATTAGATTTCTGAAGAAAAGAGTTAGGCTCAGGAATCTTTTTCCAGACGTATTTTTTCTTGGAGGACCTCCAATTCAGACGAGCAGCTTCCAATGTAGGAAAGGTTCAGGACTACCAAGGACTACAGGGGTCTGGGCATTCCCGCAGGTAAGTCTCTGTATGACCGTTATACACCTCCATCAGCGTTGTGCACACAGTCAGCTAATAGGCAGGTGGGAGGAAGAAGAAGAAAAAAGGAAGGGGAAAAAAAAAAAAGAGAAAGCCTCATTACAGTTATTAGTGGAAAACTGTCTCTGATACTAGCTGAACAGTTCAACTAAAATGAGCATTTATCTTATTCAGTCAACAACATGTAAGTATGAACAGCTTGTGTCCTCAGCCAAGAATGCTGCCTCTAATGAATATAGTAACTAAATTTCTCAATCAAAAACTCTTCTCACCCCCTTTTTTTTTTAAAAACAAACACCAAAACCTCAAGTTCAGACTAAAACATCTTCTGTTGCAAGAAGAATGCGACTGTAGTATGTGTAAACCATAAGGTATATTAATTTGTTTCATGCTACTTATAGGGGCACGTATCACAGGTTAATTCAGGTTAGAAGGGTCATTAATATGTCTGTAGTGCAAATGCTGCCTCAAACCAGAGCCAGCTATGAGGAAAGGGCTCAGGCTGCTCGGAGCTTTAAAGCTGTAGGGCCTTTGGAAAACAGCTATTCCAGCAATTACATTTTGCTTTTTACAAAGTAATGTGGAATTTGTTTTTACGTGCACGTCTTCACCTAAAAAACCCCTGAATGTACCACTGTGACCTCCTTCTTAGATGTACAGTAGTTAGTGGTCTGCCCCCCCTCCCCCGCAGCTTTCTGCAAATATAGAAGCATCACCTTATTGAGGACAGGCTTTGTGGAGAGAACATCATAAATTGCTGGTAAGGAGATGTTCTGAAAGAAAATAAGACATTGATGTTAATGGCCATTAACCTGTTAGTGTAAATGCTGACAATTGTAACTTTTCACTGCTCGATTAGATAATAAGATAAAGCTTTAAGAGTACATCTTGATACCAGAAGAACATGGGTTGCAAAAACTTGAGCAGACCAGATCTCAGTACACCATGGGACACTTGAGTGTCAGTGTTTGCTGCCTGACTGTGTGTGTTTGAATTTCACTGGTGATAGAACAGCTGAGGAAACAATGACAATCTCTCTCAAAGTATCTCCAGGTTTATCCCCCTGCATATGCAGCTGCAGAAAATGCTTGCAGGAAACCCACCTAGATGAAGAGAAAGCCTAAAACTAAAAAACATTTGTGTAAAGAGCCACCTGGTACTTCATTACCCAGAAGCACAGACAAATTGTCACAAAACCATTAGCCGCTTCTGTCATTACAGCTGTGCTTGCAAATGCCCTTAATGCTCCTGGCTGTCAGATCAGTACCGTAACGTGGGAGCTTCAGAACAGCAAGATGAGGTATCGGGAGGATGTTTACCTCTTGCATTGTCTGGTTCAGGCATTTCATTGCAGGTGTTCTACGATTATCCAAGATTAGCGGAGGCTTCCAGCGGTCGTAGTTTGTTTCTAACACGTACCACGTGCCTTTCTTGATATCAAGGCTGGAAAAGAGGTGTATGTTTGTGTTTTGCTTCTCTAAGTATATAGTAAGTACATATATAGTATATACTACACACAGCTGGATTTTTTTTAGGCTTGCTGTGGTATTTTTCAGTGATGCTAAAGAACTGTTCTTGCACAACAGAAGTCACAAGAAACATAGGACACAAATATTGGTGGAACCTGTCCTCTTCTGGAAGGCTGGATCAGGTGTCAGGTCAAGTATACTCACTCCCAGATATCCAGAGTAGCTGTCCTGGAACGAGTTATCACACACCCTTCTCCAGAATTTTTTCCACCCAGTATAAAGTAAGCTGGAGCCAGCAGTCTTGTTTTTGCCAGTTTGTCTTTTGCATCCTGGTAACTGCAGACAACAAAGTAGTGTTGGACTATTAAACGCTATGAACAGTTCAAGTACTGAAGAATGAGTTTCACAGACCCAGGAGAAGTTTGCGTAGTCACACCTTTCTTCCCCTTTGATGCACATATGAGGAGATTGTATCACAATGAAGGAACACATTTAAGCAAAGCTCCTCCGCTCACTTTGTATTTAAAGTATGGCTGTTGAGAGGTGCTCTTTGCACTTTTTCTACATTTAAAACAGGAATAAAATGATGACATGCTGTGTCATACTCCACCTAATTCATTTACTGCATGAGAGCTTTCCTGTAATATACTACTACCTGTTGGATGTGGTTTGATGCAGAATGCTGTTACACATTCCGATACCAATAGGTTCATTAGGAAAAAAAAAAAAGTCTGAGAAAACAATTTGAGGAGTTTTACGGGATCGTGTGCGATGCCTCCCTCCCCACCAGAGTACCAGTAAACCCAGAACTACCTAATGTTAAGGCTTCTAGGAAGATATCTGTATCATTAGATACTAAGCATACATCTACAGCATTCATGCCAGCTGAAAGCAAAGCAGATTAAAGCAGTAGAATATTTAGGTGGGGGGAATACCTTGTGGCATTCTCTAATACTGTTCTTGTAAGAAAGCCCATCCACATACCATCTCTTCTACCAAGAAACCATTCGAAGATTCCTGCAAAATATCACTGGTTACAATAGTTTGTTTTCAGAAGGTTCACTCACGCTATTCTAACTTTCACAGCCTTTAAAATGAACTGTGTTTTATCTTAACTCATCTGAAATCTTTTCACCGTTTGTGTGCCTGTTTGTTAAGGTAACTGGTATGCCCATCGTCTTTACAACTTGCACAGAAATAATGAGAGAAATGAGCATTACTCACCAACATAACCACCATCAAGACTGAAACGCTCATTCATTGTCAGAGTGAACAAGTCCTGAAAAGCATTAAACAAGTCAACCTTCATCCATCGGCAGCCCATTTAATACCAGTAATAAACAAGAGGCAGCATTGCAATTTACATGCCAGTTGCGCTTCTTGTTTGTTAGACTCTTCCCCTTTCAGTAATGGACTGCAAGATCAAGCCCATGCGGAGAAGAACCTAATTTATCACTGCTTGAGTAAGTAGAAATGATAATTCATAGTTTTCTGACCTGGCACAGCAATCCAGCAAACCATGCTTTTATGCTAAGCAAGTCAAGTCTGTGGCCATTTCCCTCTTGGTCCCCGTTGCATCACTGAATTACCAGTTTTCCTTCCCCTGCTGTATGCAAGCTTCTTCTCAGACCTCTGGATACTATTCCAGTTTGAAGGCAGATTTTTAAGTCCCAGTACTAATTACACCCTGATATGTTATTGCTGTTCACATGGGCATGCAGCTGTACACAATTCAATCCACACTACTTGCAACATGCAATTCAGACTCAAATCCTAGTCTTCTCCAACTAATGTCTCTTTCAGAGGAAAGTGGAATTCAGCTACACTGGATCATTTTCAGAATGGACTCTTACCGATTTATTTGACCAGAAGACAAAAATAAATGGGTACAATGCAGGGATTTAGGCCAGAAATGCTCTACTATGAAAAGGGCCACCTATAATAGAGGATAAAGGCAGAGTGTGTAGAAAAGGAGGAGCTGTGGTAAGCTGGAGACCCTGGTGTAGTTCTGTACTGCTGTTTTTTAAGATGTAGATAAAACACAGATTTCAGGTGCCTATTAAAAAAAAAAAATCTTGCAGTGTAGGACACCTTTTCCAAGAAAGATTGGAGAAAGAATTAAAATAGCACAAGTATGCCGTTTCACCTCTGGGATTACAGCAGTATATATTTGCTAGCGAGAAACTCCAACCACTTGAGCACTTTGTATTCACTCCTGTTCGTATTCAGAATTCAACATTATTTTTAAGAATTGTCCAAACACGAATATTTCATTTAGGCAATATCCTTTTACAAGGAGGAGTGCAGCACTGTTTTCTTTTACCTTTCTTGAAATAACTATTCTGTGTACCAGAACAATTAAGAGATCATTTATTAAAAAATATCCCAAGGCAGAAGATGAAAGCAGGAAAATTTACATTTTAAAGGAAAGTCTGAAGCGTTATTAACAAATTGACAAGCCCCCCTCCCCATACTTACTGGTTTGACTCCAGACACCATGCCTATGTATCCTGCAAAATTTGTAGACTTGAATACTGTCTTGTTGTTTCTCTGGAAGTCCAAGTTTACCACTATAGGCTTCAGTTCCCGAGTTAAAGTCCAGGAATTATTTTTAACATCCCACCTGCGGCAGACGGTACAGCATTTGAAACTTCCCTCCCTCGGTAGCTTTTAAAACTTCCCTTCACAGCATGCAGATTTCCTGTGTGTGATGCCTGTCGTCTGATCTTACTCATGTCAGCCAACACCACTGCTGAGTAGTTACCTGAGCAGCACCAGCAAGGGACGACCAGGCAGTCTAAACGCATAGGCAGTCAGTGAAAAGCACCAGGTTTTATTTGAACCACGAGCATATGCACTACTCAGTATTAAACAACCCCAACGTTACAGCTGGTTTGTTTTGAACACACCCCGTAACTTTTCAAAGGGAGGCTGCTACGGGTACTGCCTGTGACACCAAACCTACTGTATCCTGAAAGCAGCTGTAGCTTGTGAGCACATGTTCACAGGCCTGTGAGCCGGTTCCCTCAAATCCTTACTTTTCAAAGGGAGAAAACAAACCACATACTACTGGATTTGCTCTACATGAAGGGAAGTCCCGATTCTAGTTTGTAAGATAAGCCAGAACAGTTTGTAGGCAAGAGGGTGCTAAAGAACACTTAACAGACCCTTAAATTCTCTGGAAACAATCTAGGTTCTGGGAACAGCTTTGAAAGTTGCCTTAATTTTCAGTATTTCTGACAAGTGGGAGAAGTTCAACACAAGCCAAACCAAGGGACAGGTAGAGTCACAGTTGACAACATTTGAGTTTTTGATAGACAGGTTAAGAATTTTAATGAAGATGGACATTTAAATTTCACCTGGGCATTGAGAGTCATCTGGATGAGTGACGTTGTAAAATATACTGGGATAATAAAAGCAAACACTGAACTACCTGATCACGAGGTATGCAATGAGAACTGTAAGAGAATCCAGTGCTGGGCAACAGAGTTTGTATCCAAATGAATGGTAATGTTAGATCAGTGGAATACAAATCACTGGCTTCTGAGTAGAAATGATGAATGATGGGAAGTGCCAGTAGAGCCCAGTACAGTAACTAGGGGGATAACTTGGAAAAAAACCCAACCACAAAACCAAGCCCCAATCCAATCCACATTTCACCGCATACACTGAAATTGCTGCTTCTGTCCCATCACGTAAAGAATAAGATATACTGGGCCCCAGAGATAAGGTTACATGGACCGTTCTTTGGCTCGAGACAGTTTTAACTGGAGCTGAGAAAGCACTAAGTAACGCCGAACACAACTGTTTTACAAAGTCATTCCTGACAAGCTCGGAGCAGTTTGACATAAGATCAGCAGAACAATCCTTTTGTTTGTTTTAGCCTTTTTTCAGAACATGCAATGCAGAATTCCTTGTCACAGTCTTAACAACATCCAATTCATCACTTAGACTCACAGAATGCATGTAGAAATTTCAGGATCATCTAGCTTTTAATTTGGGTTTAGGAAAAAAAAAAAAAGGCACAAGTTTAGGTACTTACCCGAGAAAGAGTCCAAAATCCAGGTTTCTGGCATGGTACAGCTTCCCTACATAACAATAAATAAATAGAATTTTCTAAAGAAAGAGACATAAATTTCAGCTTAGAAAACTAGGAAATGAGTAAGCAGGAAAAATACTTGGGAAAGTAAGCAGGGAAAATACCATTGTCTAGTTGCCCTTTCCATAAGTGCAGAAAAATGGTGGGGTTTTTTTGGATCAGAGAAGTGTTTTGCCATAATTGAAATCAAGTGATCTTGTAAACTGCTGTCCATCTCAGCCTCAGATGCTTTCCACGTTATCTTAATGCAATGGTAATACCTTGAGCTTCCTCTAAAAGTGAGATGTTTGTAAGCCCTCCGAGAATCCCTCAGAAATTTCCTAAGCTGGAACAGGTGCAGACAAGGGCTGCAGAACTGAGAAAGAGAATGAAAGAGTCTCTTTTCTTAAAACAGACTATCCATTTTCTCTAGCACCATACATATGTGACAGCTAGAAACTAGATGCAAAATGGATTGCACTAGAATCCCTCATGGCACTGAGAAAGTATCAGGTGTCTGGCTGGTGTTTCTTTCCCCTAGAAAAACAAATGCCACCTATTAAAAAAATAAAAATAAAACCAACCACAAAAAAAACCCCAACAAAACCAAAACCAAACCATCTTTGAAAGTATTTTTTCCTTTTTTTTAACCTAAGACACCTGTGATCTCTTATTCCCTTCTCAAGGAATATCTTTTTATTATCGTTGCTTTTAGTCTCTTCTACTAGACCTTCTTGCCTGCAGTTGAGAAGGACTATCTATGTTTGTATAATTGAGGTGGACCCTCTCCTACATAAGAGAAAACCATTAACACTATTCTGGGTTGCATTACCTGTTTTATCTTCTGCCACTATTGATGTACATACAGTAAAAATTTCATAAAAGATGTTAAAAATAACGATTTCCCCTAGAACAAAAAGAAACAAAGTTTAATAGTTTGAAACTTTTGCCATGAACAGAAAAAACTGGTTAGAAAAAAGCATACTGAAAAGTTCAGCATTCTACAATATTTCTCCTAAGAACTTGTTTAAATCTCATTTGAACTTTGAAACGACCAGTTCAGCAAAATCAAGAGCTTCCTGAAAGGCAAACAGAAGAATCAGAATCCTTTGGCCTTCTGCCTTACCGTACAGAAAGCTGACAGTCATTGCTACTGCCTCCTCTGGAAACTTCAAAACAAGCTATAAAATTCACTTTAAAGAAGAAAGCTGCTATATGTACCACTACTCCCATATAAAAGCTGCTGACTAGCACCAGGTGTACTGCTCCCGTATGAGGGAAGCAGTGGAAGCAGATCTATGGACCTCCTCTGTCTCAATTCTGGAAGAATTCAGTGTCTGCTTCTCACCTGGAATTGCATTCTTTTGCAGGAGGTGTGGAAGGAAGGCAGGAGGATGTGGCAAGGATCACAAAGGAAAGAAAGCACAGCATGAAACTGAGCCTTGCCTTCTTGCTATGTCAACAGCAGACACACAGCTGAATGGGAAATCAACGAGAATCAAGGATTCCCCCACATTTTGGTGCACAGGAGCTGAGACTCGCTCCAGTTCCCAAAACTCAGGAGTGAGAAGCTACAGCTCTACAGAGAAGCCCCAGCCTGATGAAAGGCTTATGTGATTTATTGCCATTCTCCTCTAAAATACTGTTTTCATTTAGTGTGAGATGCAATTTATTGCTTTACCTACTTAATAATTTATGTGTTAAAGTCACAGATGACTACAACTATACTGCAGATTAGTACACATACTAATTTTAAATGAGTCTGGATTCCTAGTTTTCCACTACGTTAATACAGTGTTGGAAACTATTACCCAAAGGAATCCCAGATGAATTTGCAATCCCTTGGAGTTCTTCATTGAAAGGATAAGGAAGTGTGGCCGTCAGATGAGCCTGAAAGGAAAAGTTTTGTATGTTGTTTGTGTAAATTAACGCTATTCTGTTACTTAAAACAAACCTCTCCCCAATAGGTACATCCTTCTCACAACTATTAAATTGAGTATTTAATTCCTCTGCAGCCTGTAGAACTTGAGTATGTTTGTAGAGTACTTGGAAGACAAGTACATACTTAGGGAAAGCAAAAACTATTACTTATCAAAATATTGACATATGAGCAATGGAGATTAGCACAGTATGTTAATTATCGTTAGCAGCAATAGACAGAACAGAGTGAAGCAGGACTCTTAAATGTTAAGAGTTCAACTGGAACTGAGCTTGATGTCAGCGTTTAAGGGAATCCCTAACTTTCACACATTGGTATGACTACCTGTGTATATGCTACCTTTATGTCAACCACACTCAGGCACACAGGGATACAAATGAAGTGTGGCCAGCATGACAGAAGGCTGCTGTAAATAAAGACGCGGGACAGATTTGACCTTGTGCTGTCTCTAGCACTACACTGTTTTCCCCTGTCCTGATTCTATGCCAAAACCTATTTTAATCAGAACCGAATTATTTTTTAAGATGAGGCCTGGTCAAAGTTGCCCCTGTAATCAGACATTTATTACAGTTTTCAAAACCTGATTTTATTCTACTGTTTAAAAGGAGTTGAACGTGGCAAAGAATTTCAGTGAATTGTTTTGCTACAGTGACTAAGTCAGTAGCATATACGTCTACCATGACTAAACCAAATCCGAAAAGATCTTAGAAAAAATTAGAGGAGGAAGAGACACATGCATTTTAGGTTTGATGGTTTCAGAGTAATCCAGAGTAGGCAAGAAGGCAAAACTTCAGAGTAACTCTTCAAAACAGCATTTGTGTTCTGGAAGTGGAAGAATTATCACTTGTAAAGTTCTTAATTGCCAAATTTAGTAGCATTATAGTTCTAGTAGTCAGAGCGTACAGTAATAAAATAGTTAAGCTGAAAATACTTACTATTTTGTTATCTACTATGTCAACAACTTTGCCACTGGGGAAGAAGGTATTTGCTATATCTTTAATAGTCTGGACCACAGTCTTCAGCTAAAAAGAACAAAGGCTTTTATTGAATAGAAGATCTTGAGCATAAGAACTGCCAGAATGCTAACAGAACTCCTTCACATACTTTTCACAAAAACATTTTGTTGAAAAAATATGTAAAGAAAGTGCTAAATGTGGTATTCTTGGTGAGAAAAACACACCCAACTCCCCATTAAAGAGTCACTCTTCAAGCTTTATTCAAATAACTTTCTAGATTAGCTCTGACATGTCCCTCTACCAGAGAAAACGAATTACAGGAAAAAGCCATCCTCGACTTCTGCTCCTTTGATCCCATTTTAATACTCTGCCCTCTTCTATCTTTAAAAATGTTAATTAAAAGCTCTTTGCTTAAGCACTGGTGTTCTTGAAGCCAAAAAGACTCAATAAATTTCTTATAAAAGTACATGCTTTCCATTTGTGATGTGAATGGTCACAAATAGAGTTCCACTCTATGGGATCTAACTCCAAAGTACATGACAGATAAAAACCTTCAGAATTTAAGGTGCAACCTGAAGCTTCCAACACCCACTGGCTTAAATGAGACTTTTAAAAGAAGTATTATGGTGTAAGTAGAATTTGTATGGCTTTCAGAGTGGAAAGGTCAAAGTCAGCAGGGATATAGCAAAAATCCCTGGCCTTTTTTGAGAAATTAAGCATTACTGAATTGAATTTTCAGCAACCTTCAGCAGAACAGCTGTTTAAGTAGTTTGAAATAGGCTGGAGTGTTTTTAAAATTATTTCTGCTATGTAAACACCAGTGCTGCAACCAGCATCCCTGAAAAGGGCAGGAAGTTTTTCATTTCCCCCTCGCCATTTCATCATCTCATGCAGTGTTCTGAGAGAAGCAGGGATGTGCGGAGGAGAAGGAATGCTGCCTCAGTTTCACTTCAGTTTGCTGAGGCTGTCCCTTTGGTGTACTCCTCCCCCTTCATTCTGTATTACTTCATGACTAAAGAGCTTTGACAAATGAAAGCCTTCTTTATGCTGCACCGTTTTCTATTCCTCTACATCCCAAACATCAGTGCCCAAAAAAGTTTGACTCAAGCAATTATTTTAGTCTAGAATAATATTAAAAAAGTCAACTAGAGATATTATCCCTTTCAGAGAATTTTAGCACAGGTATTCCTTTCCAAACTTTTTTTCAAAATAAAAGGCCACGTGCTAGTTTTATACCTGCTAAGCTTCAAAGCAAGCTCTGCATTTCATACCTCTGTCTTTTTGTCGTGCATCAAATTATCCCATCTTTTGCTGGGAGGTAAATCAAGATTTATGACATATGTGGGTACATTCCCTTTGAACCTGAAAGATAAGTACCAGAGTTCAACTTTAAAGAAGGCTTTGAAAAAACATTTGACAAAATAGGTGCTTCCCACCTGTAACTAGCATCTTCTAGATCTGCAACAGGAACAAGTTACAAAAAAAACCTGTTCAGACTTGCAAATCACTACTTTTCTGTAATTTGTTAGACAAGTTGAATCAGATTACTTACGTTGGTCCTGAAGGAGGGTATGTTTTACTCCTGCACTCTTCTCCATACTGCAAAGACAGTGAAACATTACTATTTAGCTCCTTTGCTAAAACATTTTATTATTCTAGCAGACTTACTTAGTTTTGAATTTAGGACTAGTCAGCTAATTCAATTCATGACGATTTGATAATAAAGGAAGAGAAAGTCTTGGCACTTTGGAAAGGGTGCAGAGGAGAATACAACAGGTAGGGGACAAACAGCAACTTCCCTGTGCTGTCTGACAGACCTTCAGACAACTTGCCGAATGTAGTCCAAGGGAAGCACAAGTTCATGATAAATATACAAACTCATTTTTACTCAGTGTGATTCAACGAAGAGCACTTCAAAACCATATTCTTTAGACAAGTTCAGAAACCTTAAATCTCAGTATGGACCAGTTTGTTCTGTTCGTTCAATTCATCATCTCATTTTATAGCGTCATTCATAATTATGCTTAGTGTTAAGCTTCATTGTGTAGCTGGAGCAGAGAAAGAATGCTGAACTTCGGGCAAATTACTCAGCCGGAGGAATGTGCTATACGGCATGACTTTTTACTTAGTGTGGAAAAGTGCTGCTGAGCTGGTGCTAAATATTATGCGGGGCGCATTTCAGGAATATAACTAAAAACTAGTTACCTTCATTCCTGTAAGCATGGTTAGTTACAAATGGAAGTTTGAGAACTATATTTAGGCATACTCCAAGTGAATGCAAGCGTGTTTTCCCTTGTAAACATATGCATATACATATGTTAATTATGTATTATAATTGCATGTTTTACCCAGTGAAATACAAGCAAATGCCTGCTAGCTGCACTTGTGCTTCAAGCCAGTTGAGAGCAGACCAGATTTGGTCTCTGAGCTATCTGAGCAGATCAGTAAGTTCCTAAGAGCACAGTACATCCCACTAGGAAAAAGGAAACGTACACATGCTATTCTGGGACTCCATACAAAGGCTCCCAAAGCACAAGTGTTTGGGAGACAGAACAGAAACAAAAATATGTAGGGATCCTTCCACCACTTCCCCGCTCCCCCCAACCCCATCCTCGATTTCCAATATTTATTTGGCTGTACTAATTAGATTACTTTACCAGTGTGTCCTTATAATGCATTCTGGCTCCAGTAAAAACTGAGACAAGATCTCTAGCAGCTACGTATCTGGGACAAAGAATCTAACTAATGTCCATGTTCTCTTTGGGCTAATCACATTATCTGTTTTTAATGCATTAATCTAGAAAACACAATGTCTTACACAATACCACGGACTTTAAACACTGGCATAATTTGTTACAACTAGAAACAGGAATTTTAAAGTGGGATTGGTTTCTGTGAGTTATCATGTGTTTTCTTTTTGTATTCTTTCCAGTAGCTGGGAGAAAGCATGAGACGAATTTTGGTTTTCCTACACGCGAGATGAAGGTATAGGACCAGCAGCTACGTGTTTCCTAGATTTCACTGTGGTGCAGTTATAGCCTTTGCATAGCTGGAACAAAAAGTCAAACACAAGAGGCCATTTGATTTTCAAAATGAGGAAGTTTCAAAACAAGGAGGGTAGGGGAGGATATCAGATGACTAATTAGGCAACAAAAGTCAGAGGCTTTCTGCAAAGCCAAGCAAATACTTAACAGTATTAATGCAATTGTCTTGTGAAATTTTCCATCCTGCAATACTAAAATCAATCAGAAAAAGTGACATGACATATACATCCTACTGCAATGGATGCACAGATTTGGACCTCCAGGAAATATCTGCTGTCAAAATATGCTTCTTGACAAATAAAGCCTGTAACAAAAAATTATCCGAAATGGATGAAAATTCAGTTATCTGTCAGTATAGCCCATGCATACAGAGAAGAAACAATGGCGACCACGCAAACTGATTTCAGGGGATTTTAAGTGGTGTTCCAGATGCTAAATGTTCTGTCACTCCTGACGCTCTCTCCTGAGATTTTAATCTTATATTTGAAGCTATTTTTATCTTCCCAGCCCTTTGCAACCTAAGCCACAAGAGATGGGGAAAGCGACAGTTAGAGGAAGAGTTAAGGGACAGATACAGAGAAAATGGTCCCTCCTTACATGTCAGTAATTTTAGACTTCTCACCTGTCTATGTAGAAAGCAAGCTAAAGAAACCAGTAATGCCCAAAACAACCCATACATCTTCCAAAACTGCTAGCACTGATTGAGATATCTGAAGAAAGCCAAGATTAGTAACAGTTTCTTTAGGTAAACTATTATATGCTGGCACATAAGCAGGAATTTAATAAGATGTCAAGACAACCAGAAAACTAGAAGTGTTCTGTTTTGTTTTTTTTTTACACAAAGTTCTAACAAGGAACAAAAAAATTGTTACCGTTTGCAATCAGCTAAAGACTAACTGCAAACTTTTCTGACAAGGTAAAAAGAAAAAAAGACACCTAAAGAATTTTCTTACAGCAACAGAAAAACCACCAGGCACTTTCTATCACCAGACTGAAATAAGCAGCTATGAAGTTACTGCTGTGGTCAGTGAGATCCTCCCCTCTGCAGAGGCTTGACACTGGAAGAGGAACAATAAATGCTGAGAGAAGCAGGAGAAGCCTTCCAGCACGAGAGGATTGCCTTGAGTTTCCAACATGACAAGCCGGAGGTGGTCTCCTAGAAAGAGCCATCAGAAGCTGGCTCCAAACAGCAGGTCGTCACCATAAATTTGCTTTTCAAACATGTATTGAAACCCCTAGGAGGAATACAGCTATTCTTGAATGGTGATTAAATGCTCTCTTTTTTTTTTTTAAATTGTCTCTTACTAGTAGGTTGCATATTTTAATTATCTAATGTACTGCTGACTTTCAAATTTGCATGTACGTAATGATACAAAAACGGATGCGTGGCAGCATAGGATCAAAATACTAAAAGAAAGAGAACACAGTGGAGGAGAAAGAGAACACAGTATGGGGAAAGATGGAAATAATAAGAAAAAATGGAAGTAGCACAGAAGATTTGTATTATGACGGATTGTATGAAAAAAAATGTAGAGCAGAACAGGAACCAAATAGCTAGCAAACTGTCAAGATGAATTGCTACCTGGAAAAAAAAAAACAAGTAATAACAGTCACTATTCACTGCAGCAAAGAAAATCAATGCACTGTTTAACAACTGCTGAGTAAATATTTTAAAACCTAGCCCAATTTCATTATTATGAAATACGCTGAATGTAGCTTGTCCAGTCTAAAGAATGCCAGCACTTTCTTTATTACCCTCAAAAATATTTTTGAGGTGGACCATGTCTGGCATCCTTCCTTAATATTCAGTGTTTCTCATCTTCATATTTAAAAATAAATATAAAATTACCTCTTTGACCTATGAAATATGATTCCATAGTTTAAGGACATGGCGTTCAATCTCTTTCAGACAAAGTAATCTGCTATATTCGCATCTTTTGGTCTATGAACTCTGTGGTCTAACACATTTTTCTCTCTGCTCCTCTTCCCTTACGGGACGATGCCAATGCAGCACTCCGTCGTGTTGCAGCAGTCCCAACGCTGTTCACCTTTCTGAACATACATGGAAGTTAAGAGTTCTCTTGCAGTGCTGAAGAAATGGGGACCAAGCCAATTTAAATTGCAGTTTGGACAAAGAAGTTCAGTCTGGTTGAGGGGGCTTAACCGAAAGCTAAAGGGACTGATAGTCTGCACCACTGAGATGTAATTCATGGCATTTAGCTTCCATGTTCTTTGTTTAACGAAAAGAAATGAACCCAACCAGCTGTACATAGGAAGACAACAATCGTCGTTCATTCTTCAGCAAATGATGCATCCCAGCACCTCAACCGAAAATAAAATATCCAAGCCTGGTATCTGGCTGCACAGCAGCACAACCTGCAACCTGGACACTCAGTGGACATTGTGCAAGCGTGAAGATGTAGCGAGTGCAATCAAATGCAAAATCAAGCTCTAATCATAGACTTTGCTGATAGCTGGCACTTTCTCCCCCACTCCTCACCCCAGAAAGCTTTTGGCTAAAATTCTGAAGGTGTTTTAAGCTGGAGCTGGCTTATAGTATTGGGAAGCTGCTCTTGGGGGGAGGATGGGATTGGGTGCACAGAAGAGAAGAGGGCCTACTCCTGTGTAGTCAGGACGCTAAGGGAACATGGCTCATCCAGATGTCCACAGGCCTCCAAAGCCTTTCCTGCAGTTCTCCCCTCTCCCAAAACCCATACTCATTTTCCTGAAATCAATTTAATTTGCTAGGAGAAGTCTTAGAGCAAACACAAAAGAATATAGGAAGTAGTGTGTTCCCAAAATATTTTAAAATATATCGCAAAAGAATATTTTGAAATCCAGACATATTTAAAACCCTGTCCTCTTCACAGGGGATGAGGAGATTCAGAAACTGAAGAGATGAGAGTGCTTTGCTGCTTCGGGAATAAAACATACATCAGGAAGCAAGAACAGCTGTTTACGTGCCCAGGAGATGGAAGCCAGCCAGTTCCCAGTAACTCCCCCCCACCGACTTCACAATTCCACCAAAAGTTAAATACTTCACCTATTCAGTTAAAAAAAACCAAAACACAAACAAAACCTGACAACCCAAGCCCACCCGCTCTAACACTTCTCCCCGCGGGTGAAGCTATAGCAAATACACTAAGCAGATTCAAAAGCATATATAGTTTTAGCAAGCCCTTCTTAACTCTCCTTTTGAAAATCATTGCTTTGGTGCAACGTTACAATATTTACATTATAGATGTATATGAAACTGAATGCAGGGCCGAGCAAGGACTTGTAAAACACACCGGATAAACACCAAGACTTGTAACCGCAGCCACGGCCGCGCCGGTTGCCGGAGGAGCCATTTAAAAGTTACGAAGTCCGTGAGGGCAGCGAGACGCTACCTTAAATTCGCACGCGTGAATGTAAAGGCACGCCTGGCCTCCTGCGTG